AAACTTGATATTTTTGATCACAAATCTAGATGTGATCCACTTGATTACCTTTACCTGGGCAGTAGTAGCATTTCTTCTAAGTAAGAGGACCATCCCCACTAGTTAGCATAATTCACCTTGCTACAGAAAAATGAGCACCCAGCTCTTTATAGATCTTTCCCAGCCTCTGTGGTGACTTCTCAGGTCAATTTATAGGTGGCCTAACACGTGTATGCTTTCTTAGGCCTGCTTATAGAGGAATCATATTTAAGAGGATCTAACCCAGGGGTAGGCAACCTTGGCTCTTTTATGACTCATGGACTTCAACTCCCAGAATTCCTGAGCCATCATGGCTGGCTCAGGAATTCTGGGAGTTGAAGTCCACAAGTCATAAAAGAGCCAAGGTTGCCTATCCCTGATCTAACCCTAACCCTTCCCCACTTTTATCCAAGCAGCCGGCGTGGGGGTGGGGGAGAGAAGGTTCCCACTTGGGACATCAACACAATCCAAACTGTGCCTTTAAACAAGAGGGGAGCATCTTGAATCTCCAAGGATATGTACTGTCTCTGAAAACTTGTGTTCCTCCCCCCCCCCAACTCCCTTTGAAATCTGCTTGCCCGCCTGATGATGACATGCATTTTAATAACCCTTGTTAGGCCCGAAAGGTGCTCCCTTTATTATTCCACCCTTATTATTTTTATAAATAACTCAAGGTGGTGAACACACACAATACTCTTTCCTCCTCCTATTTTCCCCACAACCACCACCCCTGTGTGAGGTGAGTTGGGCTGACAGAAAGTGACTGGCCCAAAGTCACTCAGTCGGCTGTCAAGCCAAAGGTGGGACTTGAACTCAGTTTCCTGGTTTCCACCTTAGTGCTTTAACCACAAGATCAGACTGTCTGGTTAATAGTAAAATCTTGCAATCTGCACAAATTATTCTTAGTATCCTCCTTCTGGTAAAAAAAAAAATAGATATTAAATAATGAAGCCAGGTGGGGATCTTTACTGGAAAATTAATGAATGGCGTGCTGAAGAGGGGGATAACACCAGTTATCTATTACACTTTCTGATGCCAATCTTGCTTATTCCTGAACATTTAGCATAAGTCTTTATGCTAAATCTTCCTGCCATCTAGTGTCCAATTCTGATTTTGCATCTTCTTGCAACATCACTTTGCATAGAATTGTCCCAGAGGTGCATTTTCAAGAGGCAACTGGACTTTGTTTTTCCTTGAAAATGTTTCACTTCTCATCCATTGAAGATGTTTCACTTCTCATCCAAGAGGTTTCTTCAGTTCTGAAGAAAAGAGTGTGGGGGAAAAAAAAGCACCTTAGGGACAACCATGACCTGGATGACTGAGAATCGCCACAGACATTTGCATAGAATTGTTCTCCAGCAATGCAGGGCTTTCTGTCCCAGATGAACTATTTTGTTCTCACTCATCCTTTGGAGATCATTTTAGTTATAGTTTAGGAATGCTTTTAACATTCATGAAAAAGAAACCTCAGATTCTTTTAGCCTGATGTGTGCCTCTCCCATTTGTATGAGAGAGTGCGTACACACATCAGTGTGCATACTTTACAAATATCAGGGTGCCATTCTCAACCATAAAAATCCGTACATCTTTCAAACAAAGTGCCTTCCAGATTACACCAGGTTTTATTTTGCTTTTTAGTGAGAATTTGCAAAACAGCCTAAGTGTGCAAGACCTTAAAATCAGTAGCATCTTAAGAAGAAATCCTGAGCTAATTCAGATGCTTTTCTTCCTAATTATATACCTTTGGTTTTATTTCAGTGGTAATAGTGTGAGTGGGTGAGTGCAAATCCCACTCATAAGTCACCTGAATCACTCAGAGACACTAAACAAGTTTGACTGTGATTCAAGATAGAATTGGATTTGGCAGTACATGTGAAAGGAATTTGGCTACATATCTTAATTGATCACACTGTAAGCATGAGCCAGGAGTGTGAGGCAACAGCCATCAAAAGTAACACAGTCTTAGGCTGTGTTATGTCAGTGCCAGCTCAGGAGAAGTAATTGGTGGTCCTACAATGCATTGTTCAAATTGCAGCAGGAATAGTGAATCTAGTTCTGGACGCTGCATTTTAAAGACCCTGAAGGAGGTCAACCAGGATAAGGAGGGTGATGTGAAAAATCAGATGAAATGAGGGTTGGTTGAAAGAGCAGGGTGAGTTCATCCTGCAGAAAAGAAGAATGAATAGCAATACCAGGGCTGAATTTCAAATGACCCAAAGGTGGTCATATAGAAATAAAGCAGGCTGGCTCTCTTATTTTCCCCAAAACATAGAATTTCAGCTAAATGTTCTTCCTGATGTGCAATTGAAATCTGCTTTCTTAATAATAAGAATGCTTGACAGTACCTCAGTCTGTTACTATAGCACTGACAAAAAATAATAATAACTGTTCAGACTGTTCTCTCTTCATTTAGAATGATGTTATTTGCAGTTTCTATCTTGGCTAGGGGGATGCATGATTTTCTGCTCCCCTTGCATTCTGCCAACTTCTTTTATGGCGTCTTGAAATGAGAGAGGAAATGCGATTTAAGATAGCGCTTACAAGCCGTAGCAAGTTATTGTTGTTAACAATAAAAACAAAAATTTTGAATAAATATTGGTTACACCTTTCCTCCCCTCGTGTCTTTGCTTACCTCTCATTGTGTTCACGAAATTCTTATAAAAATCACAAACGGCAAAGTGCTTATTGGCTGAAAATAATCTATTATTGGAAGAGATTTGTTATTTGTGTCTGCCCGTGAATTACTTCCATATCCAACAGAGCTGAAATAATGTGCTTATTAATTTTTGCATCGGAAATACAATTTTAAAAAGGAACCTGGCAACCATCCTCACAGCATTACTTAAAGCAAGGGCAATAATATTCCCATTTTATAGTTAGAGGAACTGAAGCTAAGCGATCAAGGTGTGCCCGGTAGTCTAAGCCTCCTTGATCTTAAGCCAGGGCTGCCATCTATAATGCTCTGCTGGCTGGTTGTGCGGCAATACGGCCCAGCCCTATTGAAATTACACATCCACTCACAGGCAACAGAGGAGGCTACTTTAAAGATCTGCTGGGTGATACATGCCTGGGAATTCCCTGCAGCCACTTCCCACGCCATTCAGCACCTTGTCGATGGTTTTGTAGCAACACAGCCTAGCCCTGATATGTTAAGTTGCATGTTTTTCCTTGGGGAGATCTGGGAAGTTACACCAGCGAGGCCAAATCAAAGTAGGGTTCTTAAGGAATATAACATTGATCCTACGTCCTTAACAGGTGGCCTATCCTTCTATAGCTCAAATGTGCTCTTAGGCCAAGGTGGCAGGTCCTGCTCTATTGCTGTTTCTTTGAGTAAAATAGATTTTGAAATTCCCTGCCTGTTTTTGTTGGTCTGATTTCAATTTCCTACTGGATGTTGCACTTGCTGTGGTGCTCTTTTCCAGATTGCTTCTCTTGAATCTGGAAAGTGACTTGCTGTTGATATTGCAGTACACTTTCCTTGCTGGATGATTGAATATGGTATTCTTTTTCAAAACCAGCAGGCAAGCTGTATTTGATCAGAAAGTGTGTGAGAAATGTATTGGGATGTTGCTAAGGGCAGCCATTTCATAGTTTCATGCATGAACAAGCTTGGAAAGATGGCGATTAAAGATCAGCCTTTCATCAGCCTTGTTCATTATACTTAGCAATCTTTTCTTCCTCTTGTTACAATGTTGAGGTAGCCATGACTGTAGCTGTAGTTTATTATGTTCTCCTCTGCTCCACTTAATAAGCCTATTTCACCCCCGTCATCATATGCTAGATATATTGATAGCTTCAAGTGAAAATGGATGTGTGGTTTAATTAAAAATAAATTAGTTTTGCTATTTTTTCCCTCTTGCCCTGACCAAATGTGATCCTGGACCCGAAGAAAGAAAGATGATACAATCCTGACTTAATGACACACATGGTAGAAGACTACTAATTCGGAAAATTGTAAATGACGGGTTTGATACAGGTTTTGATGGACAGAAATAGTTGGTAGAATATCTGCTTTTGTCTTGTTTGCCAGATTTTGTCTGTATTATCCCTAGGAAAGGAGAGCTGGGAAAGACCCCACCCCAAAATTGTGGGGGTTCCCTGCTGGTCATTTAGACAACACTGAGATGAAACAAGAGAGAGAAGACTTCTGTAAGGCCATTTCTGCAATTATCAGGGAAACAGGAACATGCAGTATGTCTCTGAATGATGCCTTTTGAGGATAAAGAGATAAAATCTTCACATCCTACCAGAATCTTAATTTTCTCTCAGCAAGATCTGTCTCTTATTTCTTGAAATGCCTTCTTACTTTATTTATCTGTTAAGATTTACACCCCACCTGTGGGATCTCAGTGGCTTTAATGAAAAGATCTTCCCTATGTTTGAATCCAGTCAAATGTTTTGGGGTGTGTTTGAAGAGGGGAATCCATTTTCAGGAGCTACCAAATTGGAAAATTAGAGATGAGTACCATAGCTAGCCTGTGATGTCTCGTTGTAGTTACCAGCTGTATTTTTGTTCAACAGGTGCTGTAGCAAGTATGGTTGTGAAACAGAAGCTGGCAGAGGTCATCCTGAAAAAACAACAAGCTGCTCTGGAAAGGACTAATGCTCCCATCATGCCATACAGGTAACCTGGTTCTAGAAATAAATTGGCAAACCTCACATGCTGGAACATCAACAGACTTCTTAATGTCATCTTAAGAATTTTTTCTTGCTACAGTTTCCATCATCCCCAAACAGCATGACCAATACAACTTGCAGAAATGATGAGGGAATAGAAGGGGAACTCATCAAATTTGCAGATGACACTAAGCTGGCAGGAATAGCAAAACCCCAGAAGACAAGCTCAGGATCCAAAAAAGATCTTGACAGACTTGAACAATGGGCCCTATCCAACAACATGAACTTTAATGTGGAGAAAAGCAAGGTTTTACACCTAGGCAGGAAAAACCAATGGTACAAGTACAGATTATGCGAAACCTCAAAAACAGTAACTGTGAGAGGGACCTTGGAGTCCTAGTGGACGATCATTTAAACATGAGCTAGCAGTGTGCGGCAGCAGCCAAAAAACCTAATACAATCCTTGGTTGTATAAACAGGCATAGAATCAAAATCACATGAAGTATTAGTACCACTTTATAAATCCTTAGTAAGATGACTTCTGGAATACTGCATCCAGTTTTGGTCATCACATTACCAAAAAGATATTGAGACTTTGGGGGAAAAGTGCAAAGAAGAGCAATTAAGAGGATTAAGGGCCTGGAGACAAAAACACATGAAGAATGGTTGCAGGAATTGGGTGTGGGCAGTCTAGAGAAAAGAAGGACTAGGGTGACATGATAGCAGTATTCCAGTATTTGAGGGGCTGCCACAAAGAAGAGGGGGTCAACTTATTTTCCAAAGCACAGAAGGCAAGACAAGAAACAATGGATGAAAACTAATCGAGAGAAGAAACCTCGGACTAAGGAGAAACTTCCTAACAGTGAGAACAATTAACTAGTGGAACAGCTTGCCTTCAGAAGTTGTAGGGGCTTCATCACTAGAGGTTTTTAAGAAAAGGCTGGATATATCCACCTATTTGAAATGGTATAAGGTCTCTTGCTTGAGCAGAAGGTTAGACTAGAAGACCTCCAAGGTTCCTCCCAGCTCTGTTCCGATTCTAATTCTGAGATTCTGAATCTAATTAGAAAGACTTTTAGGATGTAAAAGAGGGGATGGTTGACTGATTGGGTCGATGCGGTATCCTGCATCGCACCCCCAGTTTAATCAAAGGTAGATGTCCTTGATTTCTCATGGCATTTATCCATGATACATGTCACTCTGCTTAAACTGATAACATTCATCTAGCTGGGATGGCCCTTTTCCAGCCCTGGCTATATTTTACAGGATTTGACTTCCTTGCAAACTTGCCTCACTCACTTTGCTGCCTTACATATTTTTAGAAGCACTATGAGGAACTTTGTTTTACAGCACCATAACCTGCCTTTACTGTTTCATGGATGTGTCCTGTGAAACAGCAAACGAGCCTGTTAATAGCCCTGGGATCTTGATCTTTGTGGGTTGAATTACATCCCTTGGTAGATCTTTTGCATTTAAGATCATTTTTCTGCTTGTGTTGTTCGGGGCTAGTTGGCCACACCCCCAGTGTCCTGTTTTCTTCTCTATCGTTACACCCTTGCTAAAGTCCTTGACCTAGTTCCAGACACAGCACTTTGGGTGTTGCTATAGAGGGGGAAGCTACTCAACTCTGCTGACTTTCACTGGCTTTAGTTTCCTGTTGGGGCCCTGGACAGGCATGGAAAAAAAGTTTCCTTCCGAGAAGCATTTCAGATCAGGATGGGGAGTGCTTCTTTAAATGCACCCAAACGCACATACCCTATAACAAAAAGGCAGTTTGGTAACACCCCTTTCAATCTAAAGCAAACTAGATATGTTGGACTAGGACCCCTGTCATCCCCAGCCAGGTTGTGGGAGGCCAGGATAACTTATGGTTAAACTGTGGTTTTGTGCAAGAGTTGGTCTTGCTGGATGAGCCCAATGGAGCTTGATCCTCGAAAACACCAGTCATAGAACCAGCTATAGTGCTTGGCCAGAGTTTCAATGATTTTGGAAAACAGGGATATTGTGAATAGTTCGGGTATGTGGTTGGTTGGAAAGTGTGTCATGAGTGCTTCCTCAAATGATCATCATGCAGAGGAAGGCAAACACCTTCTCAGAATTGCTGCAATAGTTGTCATAGACAATCACAAAATACTAAGAAGCCAATTGGTGATGTGGTTCTCTGTTAGCCCCTCAGGAATGGCCCCTAAGCCAAGCTTAGCTCCTCTTTTTGATTCATAATCATATATCTGTATAAGATTAAATTAAGGTCTTTGTAGGCTTTAAGCAGTCCCCTTGTGCAGGATCCTAAAATAAGTATAAAATGGGTGTACACAATGTACAAGTGCCACTTTGATATAGTTCTTAAAAGCACCAAGCTAGAACCAAGAGATCATGAGTCTAGACTTGCTTAGAGCCTTAGACAAAACAAAAGCAAGTGGGTGACTTGGGGCCTGTCACACACTCTCAGAAAAAAGGCAACAGTATTTTGATAGAGGTCATGGTGGGTAACACTTTTTCATAAACTTTTGGAAGATTTTCGGCTGGCCTTGGGCATCAGGCCCAGAAGGTAATCCAGCCTTGCTTCCAAACAAAACTGTTTAATTATTTTAAAGACTTATTTCTGGGGCCAATGTGGGGTGCAAGTCCAATATGGTCTGTATGTACTGTTTCCTTATTACAATCGAAAAGGGTAAGGCTAAGGGGGAGAGAGAGGCAATATAAGCAATAATTGTAAAAGTGATGAAACAGGTACAGCAGATTGAAATTTTTTGTGCCTTCTCTTCCCTAAATGGGCAAATTTAGGGAAGAGAAGAACAAAGGAGGGGAGAAGAACAAAGGAGGGAAAAAAACCCACAACCTTGCACAATCCTACAGATACTGAACATTCCCCGAACCAAGATACAGAATCCTTTTTCAGAAGACAGTGATCTCATAATTGGAAAGAACACTGAAAATCCATCACAGTGCAATTGCTCTTTCATCCTGCCATCTTCCACATTTTGATTCAAAAGTATCAAAACTTAAGTTCTTAAGCCACTTGTAATCATTATTTACACAAGGAGACAGGTGGATCTTCTTGAAACCGCAACCTTGAGTGGCACTGACTGGCTCAGAAGAACAAAGTTGAGCAGGGCTTTCAGAACTACTTGTTTGCGATGCTTCTGAAGGAAACATGTAATACCACCTCAGCTTATTTCTTCGTGACTCAATCCTGCAAGTTGTGACCATGATCCAGCTTTGATCTAGAAGCAGTTCTGAGAGATTTGCTCGGAAGCCAACCATGGGCTTTGCAGGTAGTAGTGACCAGTTTGAGTTCTGAATATTGCTACCTCTAGAGATTAATCTCTGAAATTACTTTCAGCAGTGAATTATTGGCTGACTCTAGGGAATCTTGGCCCGGAGGCTAAATTTGAACTGGAGACTTCCTAACCCACAGGCTCATTCCCTTAATCTTTATCATAAACTGATCTAGGAATGTTATCCACAAATCTCTTACGCTTTATCCAGGTCCTTGGAGCCAATGGAACATGAAGGACCACCAAATCCTATGCTCCCTGCTTTCTTTCCTCCTGTCCCCAACAACTCCAGGGGTTCTCCAGAGCACTTCCCACTAAGGAAAACAGGTAAAAGGGCTTATTTGAGTTAAAGAACTCTTTGGGGCTATTAAGTTTCCAAATGATAGGAAAACAGGAAGTGGAACAGCCTTGATGCTCTTCTTTGGACAATAGCAGGAATAGTAACATTGGGCTTTTGCCAGGAAATCATTTTAGAGTGCAGAGTTTAATAGGACGAACTACCTATACCTGTATAATAACCCGTTGTCAAAGGTATAGCTAGCTGCTGAGTTGTTCAGAAAAACAAGATTAAAAGAAAGGAATCGGTGGAAGTTCACATGGACTTACTTGATATACATGCACACTATTATTGTTGTGTAGTTTCCTTTTGTTCCAGCTGGACATTCTAGGAATTATAATTTTGATTTTGGGAGGGGGTACTATGTGTTTGGTTTTTCCTCCTCCCCTCCTCCTTGTTTTTCCTTTTTGCGTCATTCTCATTCTAAGCTTGCAACAGGCCTTACTTTGGTTTCTTCAGTCTTCTAAAAGTGGTTCTGTTTTATTGCTTTTTTCCGAAGGTGTATGCCGCTTACAAAACCAGATTTTCTTTAGGATCTAGAAGATGTTTTGGTAGCAACAGGGAGAAGAAAAAAGCCTGAAGCATCAAATAATAAATGAAAGGCTGCTGGCTTATTTGTTGTCACACCCTCTTTAAAGAAATAAGTCCTTGGGAGGGCATATGCTTCACACAATAAAGATCCAATGTTCAGTCCCCAACAGTGATAACTGAAAAAATATCAGATTTCTGGACTAAAAAGTAGCTCTGTTAAAACTCCTGCAAAAATGTGGCTCCTTGTCAAATCCATTAATGCAGACTCATATCTTACGTTCAAACATAAACAACTACAACTCCTCTTGATTATTCATGGCCATGGCCATCTAATTGGAATCTCTCACTCTCTACTAATGAAGCAGTAATGGAGGAAAGGAAATTTGCCATCATTGTAGGGATGCAGTGGTAGTGATATAAACAAAAATGTGAAATCTTGCTCAAGCAGTGATTCGCAAAAGGCTTCCTTGGAACCAGTGGTGGGATTCAAATATGTGAACAACCAGTTCTCTGTGTGGATGCCGCTTCCGGAAGTCCATTCTGGGCCTGGGCAACAAAAAATTAGCTACCGGTTCTGCCGAAGTAGTGCGAACCAGCTGAATCCCACCACTGCTTGGAACAGAATTTTTTCTGGGAAGAGGAAGAAGAATGGGGACAGATAGAAAGAAGCAAGAAAGCAGCCCTTGGCATTGCTGCTGTATTATATTAAGATATTAGAGAAATTAAACCGAGATGTACGTGGGAAATCAATAGTCTTTTGTAGAGAATATATTAATATAATATTAATTCTGTTGCTTTTCATTTTAGTTTTTGTCCTAGGCCCCCTACTTGTTGGGACTGGGTCTTTAGATTACCCCTTGAAAAGGCTAGAATGGTCTTCACAGCATAAAAATAGTTGCATTCTTCAAGGAGTGAAATGAGAAGTGGAAGCTAAGATGTGGCTCAGACGTTGCCCATAATTTCATTTAGAGTGCTATTTTGACCATTGTGTTGGCAATATTTCAACAGGCTTTGCTCTCTCCAACCCAGGATTTTCTCTGAGTTTAGTTGTTCTGTGGAGATAATTTTTAAACCACCCCAAGAGTCAAAACTCTCTCAGTGATTTGCAATAAAAGACACTACATAATAAATGAATAAAACATATATATAATAAAATAAAATGAAATGCAAAATAAAACCACTGTATTCAGCTACAAGGTGGCCATTCAAAAACTGAAGCAATATGAATTGACGTTAATTTAAAAACCAGTTTAAAAGCCTATGAAATAAAAAAAAAGTAATGCTTGAGGTGCCAAAGTTTCTGGGAAAGGCATTTATCCGAAAGATAGAGGAGACTAAATAAACTGGATGAACTTACTGAGATCATTTGCATTTCTGTAGCCTTGGATAATGCTTATCCTAGTGTGCTGGCAAATGCCTTGGTTGATTTTGGGGTGCCAAATGCCTTAAACCACCTTTCTTCCCTGCAGTGTTTTGCTGAGCACCCTAGGACATATCTGTGCTGAGCTAGGTGGACTTTTGCTCCAAGCACTTCTGACCCTCTTCTCTGTATTTCTTTTAGCCTCTGAGCCCAACCTGAAGTTGCGCTGTAAAGCTAAAAAAACCGAACGGCGCAAAAACCCATTGACCCGGAAGGAAAGTGCCCCCCCTTCCTTGAAAAGGCGCCCGGCAGAAGCCATTGGTAAGAAGAACCCATCCAAAGGATTTGGTGGAGGGGGGCTTTTCCTGGTGTGCGCTCCTTCTCATTGGAATGGAGCAGAGATAGACAATCTGAAATTATTCCTGGGACAATGAATTGGCACCCCTGGTGACGTGATAGGTCTCAGCCTGGAAGTCTTTGAGCTTCTAAGCCAATGATGGTGAACCTTTTAGAGACTGAGTGCCCAAACTGCAACCCAGAACCCACTTATGTATCCGTGTGCCGGGTGGGTGGCGCATTGTGTGGGTGTAGCTGCGGTGGTAACAGCAGCCTGGGTGGGACTAAAAAGTTAAATCAATCAATTCCAACTTTGCTAGATCTTTTTTTTGCCGGTGAGAAGTTGAAATTGATTGATTGATTGAATCTTTTTTTTTATTTTGCACATGGCAGCGGAGGCCTAAAGCGAAAAGGTTTTATAAAACCCAGCTGAAGGCCTAGGACTGGGGCAACGGCATGCGTGCCCATAGAGAGGGCTCTGCGTGCCACCTGTGGCACGCGTGCCACAGGTTCGCCACTATGGTTCTAAGCAGTTCATTTGAAGACAAGCCTGGATTGATCCCAATTCTAGGGTTAAGCATAGGTTAAGGATAAGTTGTGCTTATGCTACAGATTCTATCATCTCCCTCTGTTCTGACTAGGGATCATTTGATTGGTAGTCCCATACGGTTATAGGATGTGGATTGGGAAAGGCTATCCTAACATGTTTTGTTCCTGGGATGGTGTCCTTGACCCTCACTTTGCTTGTACTGTCTGTCCCGTAACCAAAGCCTTGTGTCCTCTCTTATCACCTGCAGATTCATCCCCCAGCAGCAGCAGCACCCCAGTCTCTGGATGCAGTTCACCCAATGACAGTCTGGTGCCAGAACATGGAGCCACACCAGGGCTTATTCAAGAGGTACAGAACCCTTAGGAAAGTAGCCAAGACAATTGATAACATGGATTTGGGAGATTAAGAATGAGCATCATCAAGAGCAGACATGTCAAACTCGCGACATCACATGACGTCACACAACGTATCGGGATGGTTTTGCCATTGCCGGCAATGGGTGGGCGCAGCTTCCGGATGATGTTTCCGGCCCACAGGCTGGCAGTTTGACACCCCTGATCAAGAGGCTTGCAAATAGCTGCTTACTCAATTACATGCAGCTGATCAAAACCTGTAGCCACTGGGTAAAATAGGAGGCATGTTAACTTCTGATCTTCAGTCAAAAATTACATTCAACCTGTTTGTATCTTAGAAGGCACTTGCTATCAGTTGGGACTTAATGGTTTTGGCTCCTCTTTGCATTTTACACTTCTTTACTAAATGTATGTCCTGTTCTTACACGGGGGTGGATGAGTCACCCATTCAAGGAATCAATCAGATATAAAACCTGTGTGCTTTAATATGGATGCTGAAAATTCATCTCTTCTATAGAATAACAGAGTTGGAAGGGACCTTGGAGGTCTTCTAATCCAACCCCCTGCTCAGGCAGGAAACTCTATACTACTTCAGACAAATGGCTGTCCAATCTCTTCTTGAAAACCTCCAGTTTTGGAGCATCCAGAACTTCTGAAGGGAATTTGTTCCAGTGATTAATTGTTCTAACTGTCAGGAAGTTTCTCCTTAGTTCTAGGTTGCTTCTCTCCTTGATTAGTTTCTATCCATTGCTTCTTGTCCTGCCTTCAGGTGCTTTGGAGAATAGCTTGACTCCCTCTTCTTTGTGGCAGCTCCTTAGATATTGGAACATGCTATCATGTCCCCCCTTGTCCTTCTCTTCATTAAATAGACATACCCCCAATTCCTGCAACCGTTCTTTGTATGTTTTAACCTCCAATCCCCTAATCATCTGTGTTACTCTTCTCTGTACTCTTTCTAGTCTCAACATCTTTTTTACATTTTACAACCAAAGCTGGATGCAGTATTCCAAGTAGAGTCTTACCAAGGCATTATAATGTGATATTAACAGTTCATATGATTTCTTGGATTGGAAGTATTATAGAAAACTACTGTGTTGCAGAGTCACTGAGATGACTAGTCGCCACTTACCAAAATGCTATTTGTGGAAGCAAAGCCAAGTATGTCTATTTCTTACCACACAATGTGCCTTGGAACAGTGACATTTTGGGGGGTTTCTTGTTGATTGTTTTTTGTTCTATAAGAATTCCACATCCCATGTACTCTATATACACTGTAGAATCAATAGAAGAGAATATTTACAGGGTTGAACTGTGGGGCCCTTGGTGCTCTCTGAACTTGGTGGTATTCTTGTGATGTCTCATTACCAAACGAAGTAACATTATCAGTGCTGATGATGTTACCTAGTTTGGTAATGAAACATCTGCGAGAACATTGTCACGCTCAGAGAACACCAAGGACCCCACTTTATATAGCATTTTGCCACATTGTTTTGCACATTTTTAAATAGATTGCAAAGAATTTTTTGTTCATTTTTCATTTTTACTACATTGTTTGTTTTTGTGGATATTCTTCTGATGTTGCTATTTTTACAATTTGTTCATTCATTCATTCCCCAGTTTATGTTCTGGGAAAATTGTAGCACATCAGTTGAGCCCAGAAGGTCCCATGTTCACTCCAAATCTTGTTAGGCAAGACTGAACCCTAAAGAGCTGGTGCTGGTCAGCACTAACGGGATTTGGCTTGATGGACTCTTTGAGTTTCACCTCATATAAGGTTGTGCTTCCATTTGGTTTTCAACAGCAGCAACAGTCCTTGTTGTCAATAGTACATTCAGAAGAAAGGTGAAATAAGAAAGGCTTAAATAAATACAGAGCCTTTCCCTGATGCCACACTGATAGAAAGCAGAACTGGAGGGAAGTGAAAGCATATACTGTTCTGTAAGAGAATATGGATTCTTTGATATCCCTGATGGAGACATATTTTCAGGCTGAACTTGTTGCTGGTGCCCGTCAACTTTCATAAATGCATAGCAGGGGCAAGGTGGATACCCATCAGAGGTATGCCACAAAGAAGAGGCAGTCAGGCTATTCTCCAAGGCACCTGAAGGCAGGACAAGACGCAACGGGTGGAAACTAATCAAGGAGAGAAGCAACCTAGAACTAAGGAGAAACTTCCTGACAGTTAGAACAATTAACCAGTGGAACAACCTGCCTCCAGAAGCGGTGAATGCGCCAACACTGGAAGTTTTTAAGAAGAAACTGGACAGCCATTTGTCCGAAATGGTATAGGGTTTCCTGCCTGAGCAGGAGGTTGGACTAGATGACCTCCGAGGTCCCTTCCAACTTTATCATTATTATTATTGCACAGAATCGTGCATACCAGATGTTTACCTATTTCATTTGTGCATTTTATGTACTATCTCAATCCTTGTGGGTGGTTCTAACAATGCTGAAGAATTTTTATATATTTTATATGATATTCTCAAAATTTAAAGCCTAGCTCTGTTCCTCCCATTTTTCCATATCAATCTTCCTACAGATTTTTATTTGCCACTTTGAAGGTTTCTAGCATTTATTTTCTGAAGTTGTTTTCCTTGGCATGAGAATCAGAAAACCCTTCTACACTTATTTTAGCCCTTATGTAAAGGACGGGTGTGGACCAGTTAAACCAATATTGCAGAAGAACAGTTGGACATTTTTTGTGGTGTCAAATAAGCGATTTGCATCCTCCCCGTTCAACCACGACTTAGTTAGAGGATTAAAGTTTCCAAGACCCTCTAACCTTTTCTCCTTTGTGATTACTACGATCCTGTTGGGAATGCTGAACTGCTTCTGGGTTGAAAGGATTGGCTGGTGACATCACCACAGCCTGGAGGTCACCCAATTGGGGGCTCCTTTCATGTCCTCGCTAATCTGCCCACCAAAGTGGTACCCATCTATCTACTCATGGCTGCCCGCTTTCGAAATGCTGGGTCAGCAGGAGCTGGAGCGAGTGAGGGGAGCTCACCCTGTCCTGCAGCAGCAACTGGGTCTCAAACGCCAGCCTGGCAGTCATCATACCAGCGTCCTAACTACATGCGCCACCATTCTCCTCCCCCTTAGGATAAACCTGCTGACTTTGTCTCTGAGCTTTTTGCTTTCTTGGTTACGAGGTTCTGTAAGAGAGTTGACATGTAAATGGAAATGTCCTTCTTTGTTCCCAGGCGCAGAGAATTCCACCATACATATAACAATATTCTCACTGTTACAAGAGCTATTAAACTGGGTGGATTACTACTTTTCTTTTCTTTTTCTCCTTATAGGCCCCACTAGCTCAGCGCCTGAGAATGCAGGAAAGCTCACTGGCTCAGTATGCTCTTCAGACCAGTAGTTCTCTCCCAGCCCTCACCCTTGGGCTACCAGCCCCTTCTGCAGCATCTGCCAGGGTATGTTTTAAGAAGTTGTGGCAAGAGAAAAGGGGATGGAGGCAGTAGATCGGACACGTTTCACTCTGACTTTCCTAATCGGGAAACTGCTAGACACATTGCAGCTGAACTCCCAAAACAGCAGTCCAAACAAAGGATTTTATTTATTTATTTATTTATTTATTTATTTAATTGCATTTATATCCCGCCCTTCTCCTTTCGGACTCAGGGCGGCTAACAATCAATTAAAATACAAAAAATACAAAACCCCTGTTAAAATTAATTAAAACGAAATATTTAACTGTGATCTAATTAAAAGTAATTAAAACCCCTTTAAAATCCCTTAGGCCAGTCCTGCAAGCTGGAACAACCATGTCTTGAGGGCGCGGCGGAAGGAAGGGAGATCAGGGATCACCCTGATCTCTGGGGGCAGTTCGTTCCAGAGGGTGGGTGCTCCCACAGAGAAGGCCCTCCCCCTTGGGGTCGCCAGCCGGCACTGTCTGGCTGACGGCACCCTGAGGAGACCCACTCTGTGGGAGCGTACAGGTCGGTGGG